AAAAATTGTGAATAGAAAATTATTCAGGCGAACGAAAGTAAAGGAGGGTTTTTTGTACTGGAGGTTGTGATATATTTTGTTTTTTTAAATATTTTCTGATATAATCCTTTGCCAGATTACCGGTCATGCCTGTGACTTTTGCAGCCACTTTTTTTTGGAGCGTTTTCCTTCTCTTCACCCTAAATAGGAAAGCAAAAAACATTCTTGTGTAAACTCATCAAATTACTAGAATCCCAAACTTTGATCGTCAGGCCGCTGTTGTAAAATTCACTGCCAAAACCCCTTTTAAAAAAATTTTTTTTCATTATTTTATCAAACAAAAAACATTCGACTGAAAACAATTTCGGGTTTTTGGCCACGAAAAACACATAGAAAATGACTGTTGAAAAAAAAAAACACCAAAAAAGGATCAGATTAGCTGCCCCCCCGTTTGAAATGGAATTTTTTTTTCCCAAAGGGAAACTTTAAGAACCTTTCCGAATTTTTTAATGGTTTTAAAAAAGATTATGGCTACTGTCAACCGACAGATCAAAACAGTATTTTTATACCAATATTCAGATTCACTATTCTTTATCCTCTTCATGTCGCTGTTGACACATAAGATATTCATGAGTGATCTCCATTGCTGCCGGTCTGCTGCTTTTCTGCCCATGGTATCCCATGTCAGTTTACATTCCTTTATTTCCCGTTCTGTTGTCCTTCTCCAGGTTTTCTTAGGTCGTCCACATCTCCTTTTTCCCATCTGCTGTCCACTGGACAGCTGTTTTTGTCAGTGTCACAAGGCATTCTGCAAACATGTCCAAGCCATCTCTATTGTCTTACTTTGATAACATTTCCCAGTGATGCACATTCTGTTTTCCTCCTCAGTTCTTCATTTGTGATCTTGTTTGGCCAAAATATTTGTAAAATTCTCCTTAAACATTTATTTTGAAAAGTCTCAAGTTTGTGTGTAATTCCTGCTGTCATTTTCCTATATTCACTGTTGTATATTAGTATTCCTAAAATGTTTGCTCAGATTCACTATTAGTTAAACTTGTTCTCTGCCTGACAAACATGCCATTCTAAGCATAGAAATCCCCCAGAAAGGATACTGTTAATGAGTGGTGATGATTAGTTTTGCATAACCATCAAATCCTATTGTGCCATTTATATGTTACATAAGGCTTACATTGGATTACTCCATTTCTTTCACTGGGAAGGTCATGGGTAGTGAGCATACTTTGGATCTTGTCTTCAGGCTATGCCGGTTTGGTGGCGAATGAACAGGCAGACAGATTGGCTGAATCTGAACCACTAGATGGTGAATTGATACATGACAACCAGATGTGGTCAAGGTACTTTGGGAACAAGCAACAGAATCAGTAGAGAAAAAAAGATTATTGTGGCCTGGAGAGAATGAAGCACCTGGGTGTAACCAGATGGTCTGGCCGGCTCACTACACTCAGAGGAAAGGCAAGATGGACATATAACCAGATTACAACCTGTACCATAATTATTGGAACTCTGGCTGCTGAAGATGCGGACAGAGTGCGCATGGGAATGCCACAAGTGCTGTGATGTCAGTTCTTGACTCAGCTCAACTCAACTACTCCATTCCTTTCTATACTATGCAGAGATAAGCATCATGAGGATTTTTCAAACTGTCAACTATCGTATTAGGTCAGAGGATAACAGTTCTGTTGGATTTTCATAATTTACATGGTGGGCTCCCACAGTTTCCAAATTGTTTCAGTCCTAAATGGGTACCATGAATTGTCATGGGAAGTAAAGGTGGCTGGTATGATGTTGACTACATTACCCATTGAATATTGATTGCTGTATAAAAAATGTGTCTAGCACCATATTCTCAATATGTTCTTTGCTTATTTAACCTGTTGGTCTGCATTTGAGGGTAATAGCTACAATTCAAATCATTTAATACTTATAACTGAAAGAGTTGTAGTGCCTCTTATGTCTCTTAAAATTGAAACCAAAGTTCACACCACTGTCTAAAAATCAAAGTCACTTTACTTAGTCTAAAGACAAAGTAAAAAAACGTAAAATATCAGGGAAGGCTTATGTTTACCGTAAGCTGTATCACTTTCGAAGGCGTCGTATCAACCACAGATACACACTTAACATGTTCTGGCAGCCATTTGACTTAAGATAAACAGGACAGACTTGAACCCCTATAGAATTTAGTTTTTAAAATGTGGACCAAAAATGTTTCTTCATGTGTGAATATTGGAAGTAGATAGCGTACATTGTTTCACATTTGGGTGTGTGTTCTGTTATCAGTTGTTTTACAGATTCTTGTCCTCTTTATCATTGGAAGTAAAGGTGTATTGTAAATTGTTTAGTCTAGATTGCAATTGGTTCTGAATATGTAAATTGTGTGTATTGTATCTAGCAGCATTAAAATCAATGTGAGTCTTTGCTATCTCTCTGTGTTAGGGAAGGAACAAGGGTAATAGCTACAAGACAAATCATCCATGCAGAACAACTGAAAAAGTTGCAATGAAAAGCTGTATCTTAAAGATCTGAACAGCAAGTTGACACTGTTTGACTAGAATTAAAGTCAATTTCTTGTCTCAGAAAACTGAAATAAAAGACTCAAAAATATCCAGATGCGCAGTCAACCACAGATAGAATAGTTTGGCAAGCATTTGGTGCCAGGAAAAAGGAGCAGAGTTGAACCCAGGCAGAATTTGATTTTAAAATGTGTTCTGCAAAATGACCTGCTACATGTGTGAATTATTGGAATTCCAGAGAGATTTGACGTAGAAGCTCAACAAATTTGGAAAGAGGAAAACGTGCAACAAAAACAACAGTTGTTTAACGTTTCGACCGGGCAGCCTTTTCAAATATTGTGTGAACTGTTAATGAGTAGTGAAAAGTGATTAGTCACTGCAGACTGCTATTTGGTTCTGTATGTTCTAAATTATATTTATTTTATTGAATAACATAAAATAAAGTGAACAATGGGTTAAAATATCTGTCACACAAAAAGAAAACAGGTTTTTTTAATATATAATATAATATAGAAAGATTCTCAAAATACAAATGGACCATAGAAAGCAAATGATACTGACATCCTGAAATAGAATGGAAAGCAATCAAGAGTGAAATAAAATAAAAGCAATTAACATTCAAAAATGTGATAATGTAGAACTGGCCACATCCAGTGTAACAGAGAGATAGTGATAAGACTTGGACTAAGAACGCCTTGGCTGCCAGGAGGCGATTTTTCCAAAGTTTCTTTCAGGCAGGCTTTGATGAGAGCTGTGTTCTGCAAAGAACCTGCTACATGATGATTGCTATTTTAAATAACTTCTTCAGATTTGTTTTCTGTAAATTAATGTCACATCATTTGCAAAAGGATTTTTCCTGATATGTGGCTACTTCTAATAATTATTAGCTTTAACATGTAATTATATATTTGTACAGAATATCCAGAAATTAGAAATTTGAGCGCCAAAATTTTCAGTCATGTCATCTGATGTGTTAAAACTACCAAATGATAAGTTGGAGGATGGACAAGTTTTGCGTTTATACAGCATGCGGATGTGCCCATATGCCCAGGTGAAACATTTTGAAATATATTTTGTTGGCTTTATTGGGTGCACTACATTCTACATGTTGTGAGTCAGTTAAGGGCAGTTATTATCTTTGTCTTGGTCAACAACTACTGTTGCCATGGTTAAATTAAATAGCAATTATTGATGGCTTGGTTGTTTGTAATTTCTCTCTCCATAACTGCTCCAATCATGAGCCTGTGGAAATCACATAAAATGTCCTTCACCGTCTCATTTGAAAATTTGTGGAAAACATGTTAAGTCCCAGCGAAATCTTGAAGCTTGCACACGCAAAGTAGCAAAAGGTGGTTATCAGATGTGCCAACACTAGCGGCCTCCAACCAGAATTGCAACTCACAGTTGATGCAAGCAGTCAGTCACAACAGCCAGCATTTGTACATGCAATACTGTATAAGTATAAACCATTCCAAATGTAATTGGCCACCCACCATTCTAGTGCAGTTTACAACTTAAAACTATGTGGGTAAAACAACGGGGGGAAAAACATCCAGACTAAATCCACTGCTCAGAGTTTACACCAAGCACTCAGCTTAGTAGCTGTTTGATAGAAATGTGTGGCTTAAATGCCAACTACTGTTATGCATGGCTTAAAAGAAACATTTGTTGCCTTGTATTGGTTATCATCGACTGCTGTAGCCATATGTATTAAATATCAAACACTGTTGCAGTATGTGAACTAAACCTGTAGTGATAACTCTCTGTTGCCATGTCTGGGTTACACATCAGTTACTGTTGCCGTGTCTGGGTTACACATCAGTTAGTGTTGCAGTGTCTGGGCTATACATCAATTACAGTTGCGTCTTGGTTACACATCAGTTACTGTTGCCATGTTTGGGTTACACATCAGTTACTGTTGCCATGTTTGGGTTACACATCAATTACTGTTGCCATGTTTGGGTTACACATCAATTAATCAATTACTGTTGCCATGTTTGGGTTACACATCAATTACTGTTGCCATGTTTGGGTTACACATCAATTACTGTTGCCATGTTTGGGTTACACATCAATTACTGATGCCATGTCTGGGTTACACATCAATTACTGTTGCCATGTCTGGGTTACACATCAATTACTGTTGCCATGTCTGGGTTACACATCAATTACTGTTGCCATGTCTGGGTTACAAATCAATTACTGTTGCCATGTCTGGGTTACACATCAATTACTGTTGCCATGTTTGGGTTACACATCAATTACTGTTGCCATGTTTGGGTTACACATCAATTACTGTTGCCATGTCTGGGCTATACATCAATTACTGATGCCGTGTCCGGATTACACAACAATTACAGTTGCCGTGTCTGGGTTACACATCAATTACTGTTGCCATGTCTGGGTTACACATCACTTACTGTTGCCGTGTCTATGTTACACATCAACTGCTGTTGCCGTGTCTGGATTACACATCAAATACTATTGCCATATCTGAGTGCAACAACAATTTCTATTTTATTTGTGAATCAAGTTGGTGTGGCTCAAAATATTATCATCTGCCTTAGTTTTGATAGATGAGATTTTAATTAAGTTGAGAAAAGTATTTTAAAGCATACTGTTATTTTCAGAGAAACCCATTGATATTATTTACATCCCACCCTCATGTTATGTTGTCACAGTCGAGATCACTGCATATTGAGCATTCCCATGCATGCTTAGTCCTCCAATGCAGCAGCCACTCCAAAGTACCTCTACTAATCACCCTATTTGTCCTCTCAAGCAAACATATGAACCATAAGTAGTGTAGATATACTGTTTCCAGGCTTTTAGATATGTTTGAATGTATTCCAGAGAGCTCGTTTGATGCTTGCTGCCAAAAACATCAACTATGATCTGGTCAACATCGACCTAAACAATAAACCTGACTGGTTCTTTGATCTCAATCCTTATGGGGAAGTACCAGTGCTGTTACACAATGGAGGCTGTGTTTATGAGTCCTTGATTACAGCAGGTGAGCATATTGCTGTTGCCTGTCCCATTTTGTGTGTTAATACTTGCACCACGCCAGCATTCATAATTGTGAAAGTCTGAATTTTATTAATTGAATGTTGAATTAAGAATTGACATCACAGCACTCTGGCCACCCCCATAAGCAGTCCGTCTCCATCTTCAGCAGCAAATGAAGAGTTCCAATTCTGATGGGACCAGTAGCTGTTTGTATATCCGTCTCACCTTTTCCCTGAGTGTTGAGCGCCAGCCGGATCCCCTTGTAACACTCCTCCTAGTGCCATTCTCCCCAGACCGTAATGATCTATCTATGCCTCCACACCGTTCATATGGTGCAAAACCGGCCAGTCTATCTGCCTGCTCATTTCCCAACACACAGGCATCACCTGGAGAAAATATCCAAAGGATGCTGACTACCTGGGACCTCTTAAGTGATGCTTGCCACTCTGCACGGAGCTTGCCTGTCTCCACCTTTTTCAACATGCTCTGAGAGTCAGTTACAATCACGACAAGTGTTTACAGCTGATTTTCAAAATTATATACTTGATTTTGTTAATTAAGCACAGTAAGTTTGTATAAGGGCATAATGTAAGCATATACACTAAAGGAATAGGACAGGAGATGTTGAAATTAATGAAAATGCCTAAGCTATGAAAGCCTCTCTTTCTTTTTGTATTCATACTTTTAATATCTCTATCAATTCTCCCTTATTTTTCTACACTTCTGCCCAAGTAGGTACATGACTCCACGTCTTGGAGTGGGGTACCATTAAGAGACACCACATTATTATTCACCTAATTTATTCTTATTATCATTGTCTTTTCCCTTATAGATTTTCAAACCTGGCTGCTGTGATTTAGCGTCAGGTATATTTGATTTATAAAACAAAGAAAATTGAAATATTTTGGTCACTTGAAACGTCATGGAAGTCTAGAGAGAAGAATAATGGAGGGGTATATGCCTGGGAAGAGAGGAAGAGGAAGGCCAAGGAGAAGATGGGTGCAGGATGTGGCAGATGATCTCCAGATGGGTGTATCAGACGCAGGACATCTTGCTCAGGATAGGAAGGTTTTCCGGAGGGTTGTTATGGCAGCGAGGTTCCGCGAGGGACATGCTACTGAATGAATGAATGAATGAATATTTGATTTTTCTTGCACTTCATTTTGTGAGGGGGGATGAAAGAGGAGTATCACCAGTGAAGGCCCACAAATTGACTGATTCTTCTTCTCCTTTTTTGCGTCCCCTTTTACCGCTTCGTGTATCATGGAAGATATAAGGTCCTGCTTCATGCTTGACAGATTAAAGTATATTGTTTTATTTTATAAAAAGGTACTGAAAGAGCTAATGTTATTTGATGTGTTATTGTTGCAGAATACATAGAGGAAGCTTTTCCCCAGCCGAAATTCTATTCAGATGATCCTCTAGTGAGGGCCCGTGAGAAGATATACTTCAACCACTGGACCAAAAAGGTATCAGTTTTTAACCTGTTTTCCCAGGAAACCCTAGAAAAATCACAGAATAATCCCTAATTCTGGATTCCCCCCCCCCCCCCTCCTTCAAAAAAAAAAACACCATCTGACACAGGTCACACACAGGTTTCTGGAGAGTTAACTAGCTTACCTCTTTTTGGTGTTAAAAAAAAAAAGATATATTTTTTAATTTTTATTACATTATTTTTTGTGGGTTAGTTAGTTAGTCATAATTTCCTCTTGTGTCGAGTGCGGCACATAGGGCAAGAGGTCGCGACTCTCCATGCACGGCGGTCCGTTGCAATCCGTTGTAGGTCTTGGATGTTTGAGTGGCCATGAGCGAGCCTTCCCTGATGATTTCTGACGTAGGGTTCCCTTGGTCTTGCACGAGATCACCCTGTTGGTGTCCAAATGAGGGCTTTGGTAAGGAAGTCTTGATTTATCCATTCTAAGGGCGTGGCCGACATAGTTCCAGCGGCGTTTTCGTATAAAATTAGACACATACTCTTGCCTGGATTCTTGCCTTATTTGTGTATTGGTTCGGAAATCTGACCATTTGAAGGGATTTATTTTCAAAACTACGTAGGGTTTATTACATTATAATTTCTTTTAAAAAAGAATTTGTTTCACCTCAACGCCCTTAGTTTTGCATGTACATCAGTTTTACTGGCTTATTTGTGTGCAGTTGGTTGTTCCTTGCCACTCGGGCAGACACACTCTGACTTTGAAGAAAGTTCCCAATTAGTCAACTCCTACAACATGCTTGTTGGGGAGGCAGTGGGTCTGCTCTTGTTTTCCCCACAATGGGGTCCAGAAACCCATGCTGGGAGCCCTGTACTAATAACAGTTTTCTTTTTTTTTTTATAAATTTTGGGATGAGGCTTAAGGTCACATTTAAAAAGAGTCACCTACATACAGATACCTCCGTAAGTGTTCCAGCCTCATCCACCTCCAAAAGACTACATAAAGAGGCTCTGTACACACATGAACCATACAGCACACAGTAAAGTAAGTGAAGGAGCCTGTTTATTATAGTAATGCATCAGACTGATGTCTGAGGGCTGTGGGAGTGACAAGAGGTAAAATCAGGAATGAGGTCATAAAAGAAAAAGTTAGCGCATGACCAGTTCTAAAAAAACTTACAAAAGCAAATCAAATGGTTTTCCCACTTAGAGCCTTGTGATGCCTTGTGATCATACAAAACATTCACCAAAAGAGACGGATGAAGGTCATGAGGTGGACCAATAACAATATGGAAAGATGATATCAGAGAAATGATGTGTCTGTGTTTGAGATGATCAGAAAAGCAATAAGCTGAACCTTTTATCGTCCTTGACACCTGAAGCGTGAAGTGAAGAAGTAGATGCATTAAGCATATGATGCTGGAATTCACATTTTTATAGACCAATCGGCACACTTATTGTTCAGTGTGGTCTTACTTCCCAGAACATTACCTGGTACCAGTCTTAGGCTAGGTCAGCTGGGGGTTATGGTCAGTTTTCTTTTCAATTTTCAGTGCAGATTTGAAACTAAGACATTTGGGTTGGCCAGTGATTATCTGTCTTCTACACTACTTTGGCTTCCAGAGTTGACACATACCATAAATATTATGTGATGAGAAAATGTTACAATATTTTAACTGTTTCTAATAGGTATATCCCTTTTTTATTACAACTGCTGTCGTCAGCATCTGTGGCTTAGGCATTGCAAACATGTTTTGTATTGCTGGGGTATCTAGATTCTATCCCAGCTGTAGGTGATTTGTCGGCAGACTGCTTTGTATTGATTTTGACAGTGGTATCAACAGCCGCCAATTCAGAAAGCAGTTGCAAACTACTGAATGAAAATTTGCCTAGAAAAACAGCAACAGCCAAAAGAAATGCTGGGGTTGATTCTGCAACATCCTGTAAAGGACACATAACTTACTAAGCTGTCACTTAGTCACAATAGTCAAGTAATGCACAAAAATGTGAAATCAACTGTCTAAGACACAAACTGAATACAATTTCAGGGAATTCCAGCATTTTACAGTTTGCTTAAGGTCGGATACCCAGATCCTGAGCAAACCAAAAGGTTAGAGGAGCATGTTGGGATCATGGACTCTTTTTTAAAGAAGTTGAATACGCCATACTTCCATGGGGACCAAGTTGGCTTCCCTGACTACATGATCTGGCCATGGTTTGAGCGAGCGCCCGTTCTCAAGGACATTACAGGTAACTTATCACCTTATTATGACAAATAGTTTTAAGAGCTTATATAATCGGCACCATCATTAAATATCCTGCCACCAACTGGTGTGGACAACAATGTCTCTCCACAATTCCTGTTGTTTAAATACAAGATGGTGTGTGTTTTATTTTAAAGAAGAATGTTTGCTATTGAGAAGGTCAAAAATGACAATGCTAGGGTGTTGACAACCATAGCTGTTATTAAATCATTCATGAAAACCATAAGCAGAAGGAAAGCAAAAAATAAATGTGTAACCATCCTCATGTCTTGAAAGAAATGCTCAGTTTCATCTTGACATGGAGCTGGCTAATTGATTGCAAGAAAACGTTTGATACAAAATACATACACATATGAAGAAGCCTTCAGAAAGGAGCAGAACCCTAGAGACAGCTAAATAGAAGAACCTGTAAGAATCATAAATGAAATGATGGTTTTATAATAGAATGCTTGAGAGTTTATAGTGACAGTTTAAAGGCAAAATAAATTAGGTTGTAGAGGTGAAGCAAATTCATTTATTGCCGCAAACACCCGTGAGTCTTTTCTGACCAGTTTCTCTTCATCTCCCAACCCCCCCCCCCCCCCCCCCCCCCCCCCTTTACTATTTTTGTGAAGGATATTGAATGGTTCAGGGTCACCGTGGCAGAGCGGCTAGACGCGCGCTGCGGATTGGAAGGTTGTGGGTTCGCTTCCGGCGGAGCCGGACTTTTCTTCAAAAATGACCTTGGCTCCCAGGTCGACTCAGCCTTGATTGGGTACCGGGTGCAGTCCCGGGAAGTAGAGGCGGCCGGCATGATGCTGACCACATCACCCATCTTGTGCCGTTGGTCTTAAAAATATAGGTCTAGCCCTATATGCCCAGTGTGCCTAAAGGCAGGGAAAAGGGTCCTTTCCTTTTTTTTAAAGTTTTTTTATTCAATGGTTCTTCAGCCTGCACATCAATGGCTGAGAGTTACAAACAAAATTGCTGTTTTAAAAGTAGACAGGATAGTCAAAAAGAACCTAAAGAAATTTTATCTAAAAACAGTCTACCTAAAAATATATACACATTTCATCAGGTGTCATCCATAAATGTTTTCAAAGTAAAATCGAATTCTGATAGCAGCAGTCTGTCGTATGACATTCTCTCAAAAGATGTTGGTAGTTTGTGTTACCCACACTCTTGAACTTCTACCTGTGGGGAACATCATTAGAAGATGCAGTGATGTATGAAAACAAACATAGCTCGCTGATTTCCTTCCAAAGACAAAATTTGAAGCAGTCCCACTAGAATTCTTTGGACTACATTGCCAAAGCAATAATTTTCTGTAATAATAAACATGTAAATGCTAATGGGAACTACTCTAAGTAGTTTATGTACTTGGAGAAGTCAAAGGTAACTTGTATTCTTCGCACTGATCTTCTTCTTCAGCATTCTGAGCTCTTGTGGTTCACTGCTGCAATATCGCCCACCTCCATTCTTATCCAGGATTGGCCTTCTGTTTCCACTTGGTAATTCCAAGTGTTTTGTTAGTTTGCCTATGTTTTATCTGTCCAGTGTCTTTCTGGTCTACTCCAGTTAGATTTTTTTTTTTATATACACTGTGTATCTCTATTATCTGGTATTCTCTGTGTACTGGTAATCTAGTAATCTGGTAATCTTAGTTTCAGCTTTATAGGAAACGGGTCACCCCATAGTTGCTCGCTCCTGAATGTTTATCACAGTCCCTTGTGGAAAGATTGACAGACTGCTGTCTCAGCATATGCACTAGCATACACGCGCATACAGTAGCCATCCAAAGTGCTAACACAACTCTATGTACACCCCAACCATTGCAGTCTATTAACTCTTGTGATGCTAGTAATTATTGGTGATTTCCCCCCCCCCCCCCCCCCCCATATCTTTTCAGATTTAGTATAATAATTTTTACACAGGTTTTTCTCTTGCTAAAGAGTGATAAACATTTTGTGAAAAAAGGGGGAGGGGTGAACATTATATATTTCTTCGGCCACAAGTCTCATGAAACTGTAACATAGACTAATTTATACTGATACTGAATGTTTATCTTCTTTCTAGAGTTTAATATTTCACCTGAGAAGTACCCACATTTATCTGCCTGGATAAACAGAATGTGGAAAGACCCAGCTGTTCTCAAGTGTATGATAGACCCCCAGTTGATGATCGACCATTACCAGTTTTACAGAACTGGCAAGCCAGATTTTACTCTTGGAGCTGCCAAACCTGCTCCAGTGCAGGAACTGCTGGAAAACCTGGATGGTCTGAGAGATCCCACAACTAGAGATAGGCAGAAGTAGAAAGTATTAGTATATTTCATCTTAATAGTTTGTGGAAGACAAAAGAAACCACCACAATTTCAAAGAATCTGTTTTTGTACAGTCACAAAGATCACACTGTATAACTTTACATGACATTATTGGCTGTGATAAGTAAAGATTATTTCATGTAGTTTATGTATAATTTAAAGTTTTTTGTCTAGTTCTCATACATCTGCTTGTGTATGTTGCTGTTTTTTTTTCTTTACAGAGAAAGTGTTATGTTAATTGTTGCAGTTTACTTCATTTGTATCGCATTTTGACTTTAATATTTATGGACCTTATTATGAAAGATCACATATACCAAAAGCCATTACTAACAACCAAGTTTGCAGGATATACTATGGTAGTACCTGGTGTAGCTGTTGTGGGTGCCCTAATTATAACATCCTAGGGGATTTAACAGGGTATCTGGAGTTTGCCATATTAGATTGGCATTCAGGTTGTTTGCTGTAGTTCCCTTATGTAGAACACACAAAGAGGATCTGAACAGAGTGCACAAATTTCACAGCAGCTGTGAGGATCCAGATGTTCTCTGTCTGGATATCAGAGCTAAGCATAAATATTTAATTGTATATTGTTTTTGTTTTATGTGTTTATTGGTGGGGGGGGGGGGGGTCCTCATGGCAAAGATGTCAAGCCATTTACCTTGCGCTGTGAAGGTTGCACGCTCATTTCACAGACGCATCACTCAGGTTATTGGTGCACTTTTTGTGAGTATCATGTAGCATTGTTTGAGAGAGGTTCATACAACACATTTGCTATGATAATTCTAACTTGCCACACACACACAAATCCAAGATGATGTCTGTTTAAATATTTGGTGTATATTATTTTTTCCAAGTCTGTATGTGCTGTAAACATTCTTATTATTACTATTGCATATAAAAATAAATATACATACAAGGTAATTTCTTTCCATCTTTATAATTATTGGTTGTTTATATTGTTTTGTGTTCATTTACTCTGTGTGTATATGTAGAGGTGAAGGTGGCAGGGAGCTCATTTCATCAGCCTTACGTCATGGGATATGGGTTTGATCCTAAAGGTTTATTTTTTAAATCTTAGCATGTCCATTAGGTAGTCACCGTTTAGGCAAAAGGCTGTTGTCTTGCAGTTCTCTTATATTCTCCTGGCACACATCAGCATTAGTGCGTAGGCCTCTAAGATTGGTTCTAAACTTGTGTTACACATCAGACGCTAGCCAATCAGAGACAAGCCATGGGATTTGAAATATTTATCTACCTTTCTATTTTCGACTTATGATGTGATAAGTTAGGTGGTAATTGATACAATCATCAGAATCTTGGATCAAGTCTGCATTCTTGGTTTTCTACTATTGTTCTGTGGACAACTAATTATTGCTTTTCAGCTTGGTTTGCATCATGATCTTCAGATCTAGAAAATGGCTGGTGGTGGCTTATGCCAAATTGTCATGTGCAACTGTTTATTAGTTGTATTTGCTGCTTCCATAGGTGATCAGTTGCAGTTATAGTGGTAGACTTTTTGTTCTGGCACTTCTGACAGCTGCCTTTTTTTTTAATGCATGGGTTTTGCTAACCAAGAATGGAACAACTATAGGTGACCCCTTTGCTGAGAAGTTGGAATTGTGATAAATTATACAACGAACAGTCAAAACTTGCTTCAGTTGCCAGGCTGCACTGGTGTCCAGTACTGTATAAAGACCGTTTTGTATAAGGCTGATAATTTTCTGTACAGATTTCCCCATATCTTCATTCCAGACTTGCTAATATTTTCCCACTGGGTCTCCCACCATCTCTCTTTCCGCGTATCACTATGTACTCCAGCCTTCCCTTTCTTACATCCCTAAAGAATGTAAATTTTCTTTTTAAATGATGATGGAAAATAGTTTTCTTCCCCAGTTAATTTCTTCCAAGACATTCATTACATTTCTAATCTGTACATGGTATTCTTCTTCTGTAAAAACCAAAAATAACTGCTATATTGTTGGAACAGGGTTTCTAAAAACTGCTCCTTTTCATTCTCATCCAGGAGATGTTAATCCTGCAGAAAGCAATCCAAAAAGAGGGGAAACAAAAATAGGTCGTCTGTGTGGATAGTTTTGATGAGAATTCCGCCTGCCACTTTTGCTTCTGTTGCGACATAATCTACTTTTCCCATTTTTAATGTATCCAAAGAGATGAGATTGCCTGCTTCTGATGGGGGGTAACCAGCTCTCTTCGTGGGTTAATCTGTTTCAAGACATTTTTATTATGCTTTTTATTTCCATAGTATTGTCATTATTCTATTGAATAAAAGACCTAATTAGTCAGTCAGTTGAGCATCCTCATGGGACAAGTTCCCAAGCGCCTGAATCCCATCTTCAAAAGACTCCCTTTCCGCTCAGCTTTCCGCTGGCTAGAGAACACGACATACACACACATCGTGATTGTAACTGACTCAGAAAGCATGCTGAGGAAGATCAGAACAGGTATGCTTCGTGCAGAGTGGCATGCTTCGCTGCGGAGGACAGGGGTGAGGAGTATTGTCTGGATTTTTTCATGCCTGTGTGTTGGGAAATAAACAGGCGGACAGACTGGCTGGCTCTGCACAACTTGGTGAAATACTGATACATGATAAGGCAGACGTGGTTAGTGCCTTGTGGGAGAGCGTGTACAGTTCGGAGGAGCAGATGGATCACCACAGTCTAGTGAGATTGATGCAGGGGGGAGTGACGAGAGGTTCTGGCAGATGCTCGAGACTCGGAGGAAAGGCAAGACGGACTTTTAGTCAGAATGCTACTGGCACCATTAGTATCAGAACTATTCGCTGGCTGCTAAAGATGGGGACGGAGCGCTTATGGGAATGTCCCGCATGCTTGAATCAAATCAGATCAAATCAAGACTCCGTCAGCATATGGCAACTGATAATGCCAGTGTTGGTTTACAGTTCATCTTTGGCTACCTGTATAGTGTTCATATCTGGTAATAACACATCTTTTGAAACAAAGTTTAGCTAGTTTTGTCAAAGTTGCTGATTCACCACCATCTCCTGAATCATCTATTCACCCCGTCCCCTTGAGAGCATCGAGAACATCAACCTGGTCCATTACTTGTCCTGTACTTACTGTGGCAAGCCAGTCTGCTTGTTCATTCCGTCTTACCCCAGAGTGTACTGGTACAAATATATAAATAGTTGCTGTCAGAGATGCATCAGAGACTCCAGCCATTGTGTTATAACCCATCCTGTCTCGATCCTCTTAAGCATATTAATGGAATCATAAAGCATGCATGGGGGGAAATCTGTCTTCTAGTCATGTCTTGGCTTTGTTATCTCTAGCACCTCCAAAGTCAGACTACTTGTAGTCAAGACAAAAGCACCGCTATCTTCCTGTACAATCCCCCCCCCCCCCCTTCCAACATAACTGCGAAAGCCCACATGTGTCGAAGAACGGATCCAGTTGTGTAAATAACTGCAGCTCCTGCAGAATTATCAAGAAGCAAGGCCTGACGGGTTTTGTTGTGTACAGTCTCTGTTAAATTGTATGCAGACTGAAAAGATGTACAAGTTTGTTTTCTCTTGTACCCTTCCTCACCAGATTCTGCATTGTGAACATACCTGTTGGATAATGTCCCGGCTTGATCCATACAAGATTTGGCAATCCTTGCAATGGTGACCTTAGGGGATGCAATCAATGGTTGCTTATGTAGTAATAGTACATTTTTACCCCACCATGACATCATACAAGCGATAAACACCAGATGACACAAAGTGCCACCATGTGGATGAGTATCACCCGTGGAGAGGTCCCAGAAACCGCGTTCAGCCATTAGGCCATATTTATGGCGGGGCTTTATTGCGGCCCCTGGCAAGAGCCACAGTAAAGGCTTTAAATAACGAAAAATTGCATCCGCAAGGGGATGATTAATTCAAACTTCAGAACTGGTTGCTTATGGCGACCGCAAGCCAGACAGTCCATTGTTTGTGTACGTTCATGTAATGATAATATTCTTTCATATTTAATCATGTTTGAGGTTAGGGTTAGAGCTTGGGTTAGGGTTAGCCTTACTCTAACCCTAATCTCAAACAATATTAAATATGAAAGAATATTGCTATTATGTGAACTTACACAAATAATGGATTACGTTCCCTAGGGTCGGCACCTACAGTAATGTTTACTTACGATAGATTGCGTCACCTAAGGTCGCCGTGGCAAGGATTGCCCAAGATTTTTCTCTTCAATCTGCTCAACCCATATTAGACAGGAGGCTACTTCGTAAACGTCAGGTGCCCCACTATAACTATATGATACGGTTGGAAATGGTTTCTATAAGGTGTTCCCTTTAATTCTCATCCGATTAGTGGCACTGTAGTCACCGTGTGTTAATCTTTAGGGAACAATCCCGGGAGGAAAGAGGTGGAAAGGGGGATGAGTACCACTCTTTCTTTCATCCGTCATGAAACTGCAGTTGAATGTTAGTGTGTCTGGGTGTGACTTATGTGCCCGGAATAGTCTAGACAATGATGGCCGGGCACAGTGTCTGTAGACAAAGGGCCTGTTTGACGGTTCTTTCTGGTCTGTCTTCGCTTTTCAACTGCCACTGTTTTAGATACCTCGCAGATCGTTTCACCTTCTTGGATATATGTGCTCCATAAAGTCCGGCTTTGTGCTGCAGCCTCCCAGGTGTCAGGATTTATACTGAAGGCTCTCAGTGATGTACTTTAGTGTGTCCTTGCGGCGCTTTTTCTGGCCCTATGAGAACGTCGACCTTTATGTATTTCACCATAGAAGATTATTTTGGAGAGCCGATGGTCAGGCACTCGGACAATATGACCAGCCCATCGAATCTGTGACTGCATTAGGATGGTATTGGTGCTGGCAATGCCAGCAATGTCCAGTACGACCGTGTCCGGGAGAATAGTCAGTGTATACAGGAACCGGAACTGCCAATGTTATTATGATGCAGAAGACATCAAGGCGGTTTTGCTGTATCACGGAGACGAGCAAAGAAACTACGTTTCATGTGTCTGGAGACACAATTAGCACAAATACAGTAGCTTTTAAAGTCTTGTAAGATTTCACGGACATGTCGCAGGTTCCAGAAAACGCACCACAGCACTGCCCGGGTACAGACAGCGAGGCTGCTGGAAAAGCTGAGGCTTGTGCTGGATGTCCCAACCAAGCTGTCTGCTCGACACTAACCCACGAACCAGACCCAGCAATCGCAGAGATACAGAAGAAGCTGTCTAGAGTGAAGCATAAGGTAATTTTCACATACCTACTAAAACAAACATACACATATCGCTATTTTGAGGCCACACACAACATTAATGTAATAATATTATTAACGTTAAGTTAACGGTTAACTCTTTCAGGCCCATGAATTTTGACAGACTTGGCCCAAATTAATTTCCCTTTACAAAAATGGCAGAGGGGCGGGTGCACAAAAAAGGCTATAGAGATTGTAATATACTTCTAATCCCTATAAAAGTATATATTTTTTAAAAGAGAAATGAATGTACATTTTGAATCTGATGATAATTGTTTGTTTAATTTTGTTATAGTTAGTGGGAAAGAAGAATTCAGCAGGTCTTAATTTCACAAGGACAACATTTAACAAAAACTTCTTCACTTACCATGGTTTTGCAGCCACAAGAGTCAGTAGTAAATATCCAAATTTGAGAACAAAACTTCAAAGTTTGTTCAATTTCCTAACATATTCCAAAGTTATAATAACTTTGTGGGTAAGTTTAGCACTCAGGAGCTCTTAGTTCTCACAGAGTGCTGAGCAAAATTTCAGAGAAAAAATGGCAGAAAAATAAGCCATTACACACACACTATTCACTATTTACTTTGTACATTTATTTACAGACTGTAGCTGCGATGATTTTAGTGTAGCTTAGCCATAGTATAGTACTGTCTCTTTGCTTAGAGCACTTCCCTTCTCTTACACCATAAATACGGTAGTATGGGACATTGTTTGTGTAATAAACTTATCAGAATCACTAGATTCCGACCAGCTGATCGCTCAGCTTCACTGGTGAAAATTCACCGTCCGAATCACTTTCCGAAAAATCTAAATTTTTATTATCATTATTACAACATCTGACTGAAACAATTTCAGAGCTTCGGCCACAGAAAGACGCATTCTGCAACCTGTACTTGTAGTTGGAACATTGATATTCATGGCACTCAAAAACGAACTTAGAAAATGAACTGCTAAAAAAAATTTCGTGTTTTCTCTCAAATTATGTGGTTTAGTCCAGGAAATGCAACTAAAAGGATTTCGGTAGAGTGACTTTCCCTGAATAGTTTAATCATACCTCCAAACATTAAAAACTAGTACAAAGCCGCTTGCAAAGCAAAATGTAAGGGACACACCATTGACGATGACACCGTTGTTTGGGCAAAATGGAACCCTCTCAAACAACGCTGACACCGTTGTTTGGGCCTCAAAGAGTTAAAGAGTTAATGATGCTGCTAGCTAGTAAAAAATGTGTATAATAATATAATAATAATTATTAATACTATACTGTATTATTAGACTGTATTGGGTTTTTACCTTTTAAACCATCCAGCTAGGTAGAGATTAAAATATCAAATCCAGAGATACCCTAATGAAGCCTATAAATGTAAGTCAATTCTAAGCAGAGATTTTGAAATAGTGGCAGATACCACCATAGACAAATTATAGTATAGTGTAAGAAGACAACATATGGATGCTGAGTTGCAACCAGTAATTTTCTTTTTTTTTACTTAAATAAAGGGTGGAAATGACTACATTTTTGCATTTTATGGTAATAACTATTTTGTTGTTTAAGCAACCCCTTGGCAACTATATACCATTGCAGTTGGGATAGTGTTACCTAACTGTATATGCATTTTTGAAATACACATGATGCAGGATGAGCCTACTTAATTAACATATAACAATGAAATTAGAACACAGGGAATTAGCTGGGGGAAAAAGAATTTTAATTAAGAATTTTGTATAAGAGCATAGAATCACTAGTATCAACAGTTACAAGACAGAGAAGATAGGGCTACATTGGACACCTCCTGAGAAGAAACCAGCAGAGAATCACCAAACAGGCATTATAATGGGAGAAAAAGGAGGTGAGGATGTCCAAAAGATACCACTAAGACGATGAGAGAGGACAAAGCTGCTGGGCTATATTACCACCCTGATATTCAACTGATTGCACAGAATAGAAAGGAATGGAGGAATAGACCACGAGCCCCATGTCTTCTTCTTCTTCTTTGTGCTCCAGCAGAAAGTCCTGGTTGTTCATCCATCTGGACTTTGGCTTTGTGCCAGGGCCTCAGTTTTGCATGTAAATCCGCTTTACTGGCTTATTTGTGTGCAGCTGGTCATTCCTCAGGCAGATGCACCCCAGCTTCGAAGGAAGCCCCCAATTAGTTGACATGCTTGTTAAGGAGGCAGTGGGTGTATTCTTGTTTTCCCCCACAATGGGGGCCCCTAAAACCCACACTGGGAGAGCCCTATGTGTTATTTAATGACACACTAGGAAAAATGAATGAAAGAATAAGAGCATAGCCTGCAACGTATTCAATTTCAAATACTGAAATGTTCTGTCTATTTGCAGATCCTGGTTCTATCAGGTAAAGGAGGAGTCGGAAAGAGCACGTTCACGGCCCATTTGGCACATGCACTGGCAGCTGATGAGAATCTACAGGTGGCTGAGTCAATTGTATATTTTCTTCTTCTGCCTTTCTAACCCCCAGTGACAGATGTTTTATAGTTTCTTCTTTTGTCTTTCTAACCCCCAATGGAGCATAGGCCCTTAATTAACTTACGCCAAGTCGTTCTATCCTTTGCTATCACATGCGGCTCTCCCCATGTCCCTCCTATCTTTTTAACTTCACTCTCTGTCTCCCCTTTTTCCGTGTGTTTTTTTTTTGGGGTCTTCCTATATTTGTACACCCCTGTGGGTTCCAGTGCAAAGACATTCTAGTTATATTGTTTTATATTTTGGCATATGCAAAGCCTCTTTAAAGGCAAGAGGATCAGTTTCATTGCAACACATTTTATCCCACAGGGCTCAGTCTCTCACCACAGTGACTGGATGCTTACCTGAAGCTCCATTGCCCCAGCGACAGCCCTCCAGGGATCTTGAAAACACCCACATTCGCAAACTAAAGAAATATGTCTGAATTTGAACCTGCCACTTTTAGAGTGTCAGGCAAATGGTTTAACCACTTTGGCTCAGCAGTCCTGAGTAGTTAGCATCTTTTGGATATTTTCTCAGGCTATACTGTGGTGGCATGGTACCAGGAAGGGAGGGCAGGGGCCGACCGACACGAAGATGGGCACATGATATAAGTGACTCCTTGAGTGTGAAAGTGCATCAGGTGGGAGAACTGGCAAAAGACCGAGTTTCTTTCAGGCAGACGGTGATGAGAGTGACGTTCTGCAAAGGAATTGCTACATGATGATGATGATACTGTGGTGGAGGGAAATGAACAAGCAGACTCACTGGCTGGTTTTGCACTACTTTAATGTGACAAGCTAGATGTTTACAATGACAAGCTAGATGTTTACAATGACAAGCTAGATGTTTACAATGACAAGCTAGATGTTTACAATGACAAGCTAGATGTTTACAATGACAAGCTAGATGTTTACAGTGACAAGCTAGATGTTTACAATGACAAGCTAGATGTTTACAGTGACAAGCTAGATGTCTTTTCAGTGGATGTTTAATAGCCCCTAATCTTTACAGTGACAAGCTAGATGTTTACAATGACAAGCTAGATGTTTACAATGACAAGCTAGATGTTTACAGTGACAAGCTAGATGTTTACAGTGACAAGCTAGATGTTTACAATGACAAGCTATATGTTTACAGTGACAAGCTAGATGTTTACAATGACAAGCTAGATGTTTACAATGACAAGCTAGATGTTTACAATGACAAGCTAGATGTTTACAATGACAAGCTAGATGTTTACAATGACAAGCTAGATGTTTACAATGACAAGCTAGATGTTTACAATGACAAGCTAGATGTTTACAGTGACAAGCTAGATGTTTACAGTGACAAGCAAGATGTTTACAGTGACAAGCAAGATGTTTACAACGACAAGCTAGATGTTTACAGTGACAAGCTAGATGTTTACAGTGACAAGCTAGATGTTTACAATGACAAGCTAGATGTTTACAATGACAAGCTAGATGTTTACAATGACAAGCTAGATGTTTACAATGACAAGCTAGATGTTTACAGTGACAAGCTAGATGTTTACAATGACAAGCTAGATGTTTACAGTGACAAGCTAGATGTTTACAATGACAAGCGAGATGTTTACAATGACAAGCTAGATGTTTACAATGACAAGCTAGATGTTTACAGTGACAAGCTAGATGTTTACAATGACAAGCTAGATGTTTAAAATGACAAGCTAGATGTTTACAGTGACAAGCTAGATGTTTACAATGACAAGCTAGATGTTATGAGAGTCCTTTGGGAGCGAGTGAACAGTGCAGAGGCAGAAATAGATCGTCACAGTCTGTGGAGATGGATTCTGTGAGAGCTGACTAGGGGATCTGGCTGATGCTCAGCATTAAAGAGGAAGGCAAGGACGATATACAATCAGAGTGTCCCTGGTACCATTGGAACTGCAACTCTGCACTTGCTGCTGAAGACGAGGATGATGCATTTATGGGAATGTCACTCATGTTTTAAAGTCGATTCTTAATTCAGCATTCAGGCACAGTCTCTATTTTCTGTGTGTGTGTGTGAATATATATATATATATATATATATATATATATATATATATATATATATATATATATATATATATATATATGTATAAGCTAGTCTTTAGATTGAATAGTCTCTGGTGTTTATTTTTTGTTTGAAGAATTTAGAGAATATCATGGATGGATAGGAAAACAAAAAGGTAAAGTCGGGAGATGTGAACCAGCGTAATTGAAAACAGTTATAAACCATAAGTGCTCTGCCACCAGTACGGACAACTAATAAGAAACTGCCTGTGTCACCGTTCGCATAGTACTCTGTAGCTACAGCGACGTTCCTCCATTTACCCCAGAGTGTTAACTCTGGTACCCATTTCCTAGAGGTTGGGTGAACCCCGGGAACCGCCCGGTTTCGAACACTGGCTGTGGCTGCAGCGAGTCGCAGCTGGATTTGAAAGTGAGCCTCCTATCGACTGAGCTAACACGGCTCCAGGATAGAAAAACAAAAGTTGAGGTAGTTAAGCTACACATATTACAAGATTATAAAATATTCAAATTACTTTAAATCCTGGATGAAGTTTTCAACTGGCCCTTGTGTTGTGAGTCTAAAATGAGTCAAAAATGTAGTTTTTTTTTTTTTTTTTAAATTTTGGCAGCATGGAGATTGTCTCTTCAGTTTAGCAGCATCAAATGCTGAGCATGTACTCCAGCACTGTAAACAGTGTGCTGATAAACTGCTAATAGATAAGCAGTCTGGCCTGTTCCAGCCACAATTATGACAAAGCTGTATGGCACACAGGAAGATATGTACTGTACTGTAGCTTTCATCAAGGCTACCTGCTTTCTAGTATACATTTTCTAATAGAAGGATCAAACAAGAAGTAGTATAATAATTGTTAGTGGTATGAATCTCATTCAGGTTGAATCAGTCACTCAGATGCTGTCTCCACAATATTGGCTGTAGTTGATGTGCAACATTCTCTGTCTCTTATTCCAGTTGTACACTGTGAGATTGCTGTTCATCCCTCTCTTAATGTTGTCCTACCACTTGTAGCACAGTCTGCCTCTTGCTCTCTTGCCATTAACCTTTCTCTTAGATTGTTCACTCTTAAATAAAGTAAAAATATTGAGGAGTGGTGATGACCTTTGTTTTCATTGTGGAAGATAAAACATCACAATCATTTTTAGTCCTATGAATGAAGCCTGCAAGTCTAGGGGAGCTGCCATTTTCAAGATGTATTACTGTGATTTGGGGGCCACTGTGGTGTAAGAACCAGGCACTTGCTTGCTGATCGGAAGGTCACAGGTTCGGGTCCTGACTACCATACTTTTTTTTTTTTTAAACAGCGACCTTGGCTTCCAGGTCTACCTAGCCTTGAATGGGTACCAGGTGTAGTCCTGGGAAGTAAAGGCAGCTGGCATGATGCTGACTACATCACCCATCAAGTGCTGATTGGTCTATAAAATATAGGTGCAGCCCTATATGCCCAATATGTCTGAAGGGTATGGAAAGGGTCCTTGACTTTGCTTTTACATTACCTATTACTGTGATTCTTCTATCACTTTATAGCATGGTAGCGTCTACTGTATTATTCTTATCAATTTGATTTTGTCACTTTAGATTGGCGTCCTTGATGTGGACATATGTGGGCCATCATTGCCCAGGATCATGGGCACAGAGGGAGAGACCGTCCACCAGAGTGGCTCAGGCTGGTCTCCGGTGTATGTGCGGGACAATCTGGCCATGATGTCCATTGGATTTTTGTTGGGTTAGTCATGTGTTGCAAGTTGTCTTCTTCTTTGTGTTCACCGGCTTTCAACTCTGGTGGGAAGTTCTGGTTGTTCTTCCTCTTCTGTACCTTGTTTCTCTTCCAGGACTTGAGTTTTGCATGCACATCTCATTTACAGATCTGGTTTTGTGTGTGTGTGTGGAGACCGTTGGTTTCTCTCCTCTCATTTAGCTGCACTCTACCTGCAAAGGAAACTCCCATGTTTAGTCGATCTCTACTTGTTAGGGGACAATGGATATGTTCTTTTTTCTTCTCCAAAATGGGGCTCTGGAACCCACATGGGGAAGTTTTTTCTGCTCTGTCTTCTTTCCCACTCACCTGTCTTCAGCTCATTTCTCTTCTGCTGCTACAACTCCTGTTTGTCCTGTTCTAGTCTGCTTCCTCTTCCTTGACTTCTCTTCATCTTTTTCTTTCCCATTTTCCTCTACTGCTTCTTATTCATCCAAGTATGTTTTTTCCCTTTTCCTGATGTATTTTTGATTTATCTTCACACTATTACTATTGATCTGCCTTTACATTTTTTGTTTGTGTATTCCTGAGGAAGTACTTTCCAATTGTACTTGATTTCACTTTATGTTGCAGGCTCTCTAGATGATGCGGTCATTTGGAGGGGTGCCAAGAAATCTGGCATGATCAAACAGTTTCTGCGTGATGTGGACTGGGACAAGCTTGATTACCTGGTGATTGACACCCCACCTGGAACATCAGACGAGCACCTGTCGCTGGTTCAGTACCTGTCAGGTGCCGGTATTGACGGTGCCATCGTTGTGACCACGCCACAGGAAGTGGCATTGTGTGATGTTCGGAAAGAGATTAGCTTCTGTCGGAAGACATCAGTTCCGGTTATTGGCATTGTCGAAAACATGGGAGATTTTGTCTGCCCCAAATGCCACAAAACATCCACCATATTTCCACCCACCTCTGGGGGAGCTATCAAAATGGCGGAGAATCTGGGAGAACGATTTCTAGGAACTTTGCCATTAGACCCAAGAATAGCCAAGTGCTGTGATGAAGGAAAGTCGTTTATTGATGAGATACCAGATTCTCCGGCAGTGGCTGCTTTCAAGAGCATAGTTGAGAAAATTGTTGATTACTGTCGAGATGTTGTTAAAAATAAAGAGGTGGAAACTGGTGAGGCATCAATGGATGTTTCCTAAACTTTATTTAGTTTTTCGGCAGCCTTTTGTCACCACATTTAAGGTTGTCGGCACATGAACGGTACATGCTGTTGGGGTCACAAGATATTGAAAGGCCTGTCAGCAAGGCACTTGATGATGTCTAGAATTGTGTCACCATAAAGCTGAATTTACTTAAAGATTCTGGAAATTACTGAAATATTTGAAAAGATTGCAGACCAGTGGTGAATTAAAAAAAATTTTGTTTAATGTCAAATTTGGAAATAAACACACTTTATTCATTCATGATTTAATAGAAGAGTTAATAGAAATTATTGGTTTGAATTTATTTTGTGTTACAAGTTTCGAATAATTTTTGCTGTACTGTTAACCAAGGAACACATCATACGTTAATAGGTTACTGCCTAGAAGACCAATGAACACACGATGCACCGATTTTACGTCTCTTTTGACTACCCCTTGGGCCTGTGATGCTAAACCCTATGGGACTCAAAGAGTTAAAATATTCATACATTATTTAGTAACACTTGTTTTTCTTCTTTTCCTTTTTTACCACTTCAGGTGTCAAGAGAGATTTAAGGTTCTGCTTCTGCTCTTCTGGCCTGCCTCCACCAGAGACTCACTGTGCTGTTGTAGAGTTTCTCTGATGTTAACTTTTCATCTTGCTCTTTGTCAGCTGTGTGCTGTATATCCTTCTCCTCTTTTGGTGTATATCTTGTATGATAATTTAATAACACTATCAGTTTGTTGACTTACTAGTGAATGGAAACAGCTAATAAAGTAAGACTGACTGCTGAATATTTCATAAGTGTATGTTATTATTTGGTTACTGTACCTTGAATTTTTCTTACATTAATAGAGTATACTATTTGCTGTTTGTTTTTTAAAAATTATTTGAAAGTTGTTTACATAGTGGTTTATTTAGTGACACTATTTATGTTGATTTTTAACAAGTCAATGAAAATAGTAGGTAGGTGTATTTTGTTGTTGAATTGTTCCTAAATTAATGTGAAAATAGGAACACAATTTTCTGTTCTAAAATTAACAGATAGTACAAGGTATACTTGTTGCTATATTAGAAATTAATGAAAATGGGTAACTAAGCCTCGCCTAATTATTCTACAATTAATGGGAAGTTTAGACGACTTTATATTGATTTATTAATTAATTTAAAAGGATCTTTTTTTTTAAACTGGAAAGTGCCAACCAAGTTTCATATTTAAAATAGTACTTTGGGAACAAGCAACAGAATCAGTAGAGAAATAAGATTGTTATGGCTGGAGAGAATGAGGCACCTGGGTGTAACCAGAGGGTCTGGCTGGCTCACTACACTCAGAGGAAAGGCGAAATGGACATATAACCAGATTGTGACCGGTACCATCAGTATTGGAACTCTGCGCTGGCTGCTGAAAGGACAGAGCAGGCATGGGAATGCCCAGAGTGCTGTGATGTCAATTCATGACTCAACTCATATTTAAACTCTAAAGGACTGTGTATGCCAATGATGCGTCAGACTTGTGAAGTTAGACCTGTATTATTAGTCCAATCGATGCTCGATGAGCCAGCATCTCGCCAGCTACCTGTACTTGTCACTACGTTTCCTGGTATCCATTTTAGGCTGGTTGACCTAGGAGCCAGGGTGAGTTATTTTAGAAGGAACAAAACGTCAGCCTTAGCATCAATATTTATTAGAAATATATCATTCAGAAAAAAAAAGATTAAACGGTTTCAAAAAAAAAAAAAACCTTTGACCAGCATCAAGTTACTACAAGACAAAATATTTGGCCACTGTAAGGTTACTTTAAGATTTGTGTGTGCCTCAACTGTAATGTTACATACATGTAAATTGTTCTGAAATCAGTACTCATTAATGTATTAGTGTTGTAAATTAAACTAGATTTTCTTCACCGTGCTTGTCTATTTTAATTCTTTAAAAAATTGGTTAATAATTTTATCTCCCAAAGAGGTTGCCTACAGTGTATCTCTACTGACTTCAGGTAAGATGCCGGTCACAAGCCCTGGTGAGATAGGAGGAGGGTTGGATGAGGGGGGCCACCTAAAAAAATACATCAGCAACCGAGTCACCCATTGGCTGGTCGGTAGACTTTTTCGCCGGTCGGGACAGTGTTAGAGTTTGTCTTCTTTGATCGCATCATCTCTGCAAGAGTTCTTTTGGGGGCGAACAGTGTAAGAGTTTGTCTTCTTTGATCGCATCAACACTGCAAGAGTTCTTTTGGGGGCTATTTGGTAGCGAACAATGTTAAGCCATTTAATATGGCACAGATAACCTAAGTCACAATTACAATGGAAAGCTTCCCCTTTAGAGATGTCGGTTGAACGTGACAATTTTTTTTCCATCAAAAACAGATAGACTAACAGACCCTGTAAAAGAATTATTTACTTCAAAAGTAAATAAATAAGAGATGTCAGGACAATCACTAGTGTCAACTGTTATTAGACAGAGGGAAGGAAAGAGCAGATTTTCTGGATGCAAAAGCTACAGGAACACTCGTATTGAACAAGGAAGATATTTTGAAGACCATATATGAACGACTTTTGGCAGAAGACACGAGATTAGATGAAATAACATGGGTGAAAGAGGTGTGGATCTGGCAAGGAGGCACGGATGAGAGGAAGAGATCGGCGTGTGTATAATCAGTGTGCTACGGGAACAGTTAGCATCTACACCTAATGTCATTTGCTGTGAGAGACGGAGCATATATGGGTATGCTATGATGTTGATTCTTAAATTAGTAAATCAGTTATTAGACAGAGAAGATGGTGCTATATCGGACACATTCTGGGAACAGAGGATCAGCAGACGGGCACTGAAATGAAAAACATGGATTGAGAAGTTGAGTCAAGAATTGACATCACAGCACTCAGGGCATTCCCATCACCATCATAAATCACTTCTGCCGTTAAGCGTCATGGGGAGGAATAATTTGCAATCCAGTGCAACCTGGCTGCCACTGGCTATTGTCATGCTGTGAAGGTTAGTGTCTTTAATGTTGTCGATCCATATTTTCCACGGCCATCCTTTTGCTCTTGTAACTGATCTTCTGAGATGCAGTGCTTATGATGGTATTTGATCTTGTTGCATTCTAACAAGATGGCCAAACCACTTGATCTGCTGTTTCTCGATGAGTCTAGTACAAGGTGTCATTCCCACAATTTGCCTGATAGTATCATTATTCACTCGATCTCGGGTGGTTGGGTTGGCAAAAATGGAAAAATCGACACTAGCTGTGACATAATGGCACAACTGGACAGTGAATGAATGACAATGCCAAACTCTTCTATGGTAGGACTCTCCTTCCATTTGCTTATAATAAATTAGAACAATTTCTGGATCGTCCACTGTGGAATCAAACCCTGGTTATATCTAGGATGATTAAATGCATTCACTAACCTCTTAACCACAAAAGTGCCCAAGAAAAAAGGTAGGGATCTCATTACTAAAAGATGTACAACATGGACAGAAAACAGTAAAAAAAAAAAGAGATTTTAGAAACCTGAAAAGGAAAAGAGTTGATAAAAGAAATAAACAAGAGAAAAAATGACATATTTTAGCCACGTTAGTCAATTGGTTGACATTGTCCTCATTGTAGATTGAACTATTTAGTCCGTAAGTGCTCACATCCCTCCTCAGTAAATTCCAGTGTGAAGACGCCAGTTCTGTCTTGGTTTTTTATTCTTCTTTAGCCCCCTACATTTTGCTCTTGTATGGCCGCATTTCTTTTAACTTGCTATTGTTGCAGTAAGGTTTAGCCACATTAAAAGAAACACTCCTATGAAAACCATATTGGAGGGAAAAGTTAAGGGCAAGTGAGCAATATATAGTGATACAAGTGGGAAGATAAAACAAGCATGAACATTTGTCTATCAGGAGTCGCCACCATGGTGTAGTGGTTAGATGCTCGCTTGGGAATCAGGTTGTTGGTTCGGGAATTTTTTTCAAAAATGACTTTGCTCTCAGGTGGACCCGGCCTTGAATGGGTAGTCCTGGGAAGTAAAGGCAACTAGCAGGATGCTGACCACATCACTCACCAAGTTTGGTCTATAAAATATAGGTCTAGCCCTAAACCCTTCAAGTCCGAGAAAGGGTCCTTTATTTTATTTGTCTATCAGAGCGCAGAGCAAGAGACAGTGTTTTAGATATCTGCCACCAACAATATGTAAAACACTTCTAAAGACTGACATACTTTCAACAACTGTATTATATCTGATCATACTTTTATTGTATTCAGCTTTATTGTAAACAGCATATAAAAACATAACCTCCCTTTTCCCTCTCTATCTCTTTCTCTCTTAAACACATACACACACACACACACACAAGCAAGTATGCATGCACACACATACATATACAATATGCAAACATCAATCAAGCAGCTAACAGTAAGACAGCAATATTGTTTGTTTTAGTATCCAGAAGCCATGAGTTGTTAACCCTTAGGCTCTGTGTTATGGATATAGCAACCTTTCGGCCTTGATTCCATTGTAAATACCGTAAATCTAGGAGAAATGTGGCTTTCCTGCCTACCCCTGGGATTGAACCCAGACCACAAGGAGTTCGTCACCCGGTCTCCGCACAATCCGGTTTAGCCAACTACGCTAGAGAGCCGGGCTTAAGACAGCAATAATAAAATGAAGATGTAAATAACAAAACAATCCTTCCTTCAATCCTTGCCCTGGTGTGCCATTATATGTCACAAGAGGCTAACAGCCTATTTCTCCATTCCTTTCTATACAACAAAATAGCTGCACTTAAATATTTATATAACAGAGTAGGATGTAGTTTTATAAGTTATTAACTGACCTCAAGCCCTTGATGTGCAAGATTCAACATTCATGACAGTTATACAAATTTACCAACAAATGTAAAAAAAATGTTGAACATGCAAAATACAAATTATCAGAATATTTGCAGTTGAAATAGATGATACATAATCTGTGATTCTCACCTGCTGTCTTGTATGGTTTGAGGATTACATGTTAAACCCATGCACAACTCATGA